ATAAAGAACTAGTGGTACCTTGAGGAACCCTACAGAGATGCTGGTTCCTGATGGTTTCCCATGGAGTTGTCCATCCCCACGTCCCCCCATGGGTCTCAGCCCCCCATAGGTCACCCCCCATGGGTCCTAGCCCCCCAGGTGGTCTCTGTGGGTTGAAGGAACCCTACGGAGATGGTGGTTCCTTGAGGAAACCTTCTGGAGATGCTGGTTCCTTGGGGTTCCCTTTGGAGTTGTCCATCCCCACGTTCCCTCATGGGTCCCAGCCCCCCATAGGTCACCCCCCATGGGTCCCAGCCCCCCATAGGTCACGCCCCACAACTCTCTGCCCCCCAGATGGTCCTTATAGGTTGGAGAAACCCTATAGAGATGGTGGTTCCTTGAGGAAACCTTCTGGAGATGCTGGTTCCTTGGGGTTCCCCATGGAGTTGTCCATCCCCACGTCCCCCCATGGGTCCCAGCCCCCCATAGGTCACCCCCCAAGACTGTCTGTCCCCTAGATGGTCCCTATGGGTTGGAAGAACCCTATAGAGATGATGGTTCCTTGAAGAACCCTACAGAGATGATGGTTCCTTGGAGGAACCCTACAGAGATGCTGGTTCCTGGAGGTTCCCTCTGGAGTTGTCCATCCCCACGTCCCCCCACGTGTCTCCCCACGCCGTGGGTCACCCCCCAGGACCCTCTGCCCCCCATATAGTCCCTATGGGTTGGAGGAACCCTATAGAGATGGTGGTTCCTTGAGGAAACCTTCTGGAGATGATGGTTCCTTGGGGTTCCCCATGGAGTTGTCCATCCTCACGTCCCCCTGTTGGTCCCAGCACCCCATGGGTCATGCCCCACAACTCTCTGCCTCCCAATATGGTCCCTATGGGTTGGAGGAACCCTATAGAGATGATGGTTCCTTGAGGAAACCTTCTGGAGATGCTGGTTCCTGGTGGTTCCCTTTGGAGTTGTCCATCCCCACGTCCCCCCACGTGTCTCCCCATGTCGTGGGTCACCCCCCATGGGTCCCAGCCCCCCATATGGTCCCTATGGGTTGGAGGAACCCTACAGAGATGGTGGTTCCTTGAGGAACCCTACAGAGATGATGGTTCCTTGAAGAACCCTACGGAGATGATGGTTCCTTGGAGGAACCTTCTGGAGATGCTGGTTCCTCGGGGTTCCCTTTGGAGTTGTCCATCCCCACGTCCCCCCACGTGTCTCCCCACGCCGTGGGTCACCCCCCATGGATCCTAGCCCCCCATAGGTCACCCCCCATGGGTCCTAGCCCCCCAGGTGGTCTCTGTGGGTTGAAGGAACCCTACGGAGATGGTGGTTCCTTGAGGAACCTTCTGGAGATGCTGGTTCCTGGTGGTTCCCCATGGAGTTGTCCATCCCCACATCCCCCCATGGGTCCCAGCCCCCCATAGGTCACCCCCCATGGGTCCCAGCCCCCCAGGTGGTCTGTCTGGGTTGGAGGAACCCTATAGAGATGGTGGTTCCTTGGAGGAACCCTACAGAGATGATGGTTCCTTGAAGAACCCTACGGAGATGATGGTTCCTTGAGGAAACCTTCTGGAGATGCTGGTTCCTGGTGGTTCCCCCTGGAGTTGTCCATCCCCACGTCCCCCCACGTGTCTCCCCACGCCGTGGGTCACCCCCCATGGGTCTCAGCCCCCCATAGGTCAACCCCCAAGACCCTCTGCCCCCCATATGGTCCCTATGGGTTGGAGGAACCCTACAGAGATGATGGTTCCTTGGAGGAACCCTACAGAGATGCTGGTTCCTGGAGGTTCCCTCTGGAGTTGTCCATCCCCACGTCCCCCCACGTGTCTCCCCACGCCGTGGGTCACCCCCCAGGACCCTCTGCCCCCCATATAGTCCCTATGGGTTGGAGGAACCCTATAGAGATGGTAGTTCCTTGAGGAAACCTTCTGGAGATGATGGTTCCTTGGGGCTCCCCATGGAGTTGTCCATCCTCACGTCCCCCTGTTGGTCCCAGCACCCCATAGGTCATGCCCCACAACTCTCTGCCTCCCAATATGGTCCCTATGGGTTGGAGGAACCCTATAGAGATGATGGTTCCTTGAGGAAACCTTCTGGAGATGCTGGTTCCTGGTGGTTCCCTTTGGAGTTGTCCATCCCCACGTCCCCCCACGTGTCTCCCCATGTCGTGGGTCACCCCCCATGGGTCCCAGCCCCCCA